GCACTCACTACCTATTCTTGTTTAGAAAAGTCTACCCAGATGCTTAGAAAGCTGAGGTGGTTTTAATCTGTTTTAGTATTTTAACGTTTATATGTGAGGATTTTTCCTGATTTTCCTGTTTTGTCTTTTGTAAATCACCTTGAGTGCTTTTTTTTTAACCCAATCAAATGATGTATTAATTTTATGAAATGAACGAATGAAATAAACGAGTACTTTTGGCTAGCTCAAATGCATCCTTGAACTGTGAATCACCCCGAGATCTTTGGATGAAGGGCAATATACAAGTTTAATAAATAAGATAAAATAAACTGTGACAGGAGCTCTTGCTTGCCTCTGGCCCCGCCCAACACTGTCATGTCACACACACACACACACACACACACACACAAACCCAGGTGGTTTGTCAAGGGAGAATGCAGCCCTCAGGTACTGAAGAAAGGTATCCTGCCTGTGCCTTAGTGGTGTGGGACACGGTTATTAGGAGACCCACATGTGCCCAGAATGCCTCAAAGCTAAGACTGGCCTGGAGACTCTGCGGTATGATTTGCCCCTCTGAGAAAAAATATACAGTGGTGCCCCGCAAGACGAATGCCTCGCAAGACGGAAAACCCGCTAGACGAAAGGGTTTCCGTTTTGGAGGTGCTTCGCAAAACGAATTTCCTATGGGCTTGCTTCGCAAGACGAAAATGTCTTGCGAGTTCCTGCGGGGTTCTTTTCCTCCCCCCCCTTTTTCCCAAGCCGCTAAGCCGCTTAACAGCTGATCCTAAGCCGCTAAGCCGCTTAACAGCTGATCCTAAGCCGCTAAGCCGCTTATCAGCTGATCCTAAGCCGCTAAGCCGCTTAACAGCTGATCCGCTAAGCCGCTTATCAGCTGATCTGCTAAGCCGCTTAACAGCGGATCCGCTAAGCCACTTATCAGCTGATCCGCTAAGCCGCTAAATCGCTTATCAGCTGATCCGCTAAGCCCGCTAAGCCGCTAACAGTGCTAATCCGCTAATGGGCTTGCTTCGCAGGACGAAAAAACCGCAAGACGAAGAGACTCGCGGAACGGATTCTTTTCGTCTTGCGAGGCACCACTGTATAGATTTGGCCAGCAACAGGGACAGAGTCTTTTCGGACAGCATCTTTGGAACACCTTGCCCCAAGAATTTCATTTGATCCCACCTTTGGTGGTCTGTCTACTCCTCCTCCTTCAGAGGAAACTGAAGGTTGAAATGAACTTCCTATTGTTTAGGGCAGGTCCAGTTTGTAGTTCCACTGCCCTCAGAAATTCAAACGGCCCCCTAAGTAGTGGAACTCTCTTTCCGCAGAGCACCTGGCAATTTCGCTGCAAAATTTGCATTGCATGCGGAAGATGAGTCTCTCTCTTTATCTCGGCATTTGATGCCTGAGGTATACACACCCTAGTCACACCACGGACATTTGTTTTGGACTGTTTTTAATGTCGCATTTTTAATTGCTGTGACTTGCCCTGCGTGTGAAGGGAGGATATTAATCAATATCCTAAACAACAACAACATACCAGGATAGTGATTGAGGTAGCACCAGCGGGAACGTTGAATCTGTGTGTCACAATTCCACGATCGTTGCTTTCTATTTGGGCATCAGCGGGTGACGAGCCTCCCGCTATCTGGGTTGAGATGTGGACTGGGAGGCGGGGGGCAGGTGCGCCATCTGGGAGTGAAATAGTAGCCTGAAATGAAACAGCAACATAAAAAGTTTATGACGACATCCACACATAGCTGTCAACCGTCCCTTATTTGGCGGGAAAGTCCCTTATCCCAGCGCCGTGTCCCACTGCTGTCCCTTAAATTTCCCGGGTTTCAAAGGAAGCAGCTCCTCTCCCTCCCTCCCTGCTGGCCAGGGAGGAGGGAGGCTTCAACTGTGTTGCTTGGCTGTGTTGCTCACCCAATAAGGAGTCTAAGAACGACTGGGGGGTGGAGCTTGCATGCCTTGTACCAATCAAATTGGCCGTGTTGCCTGGGGACTTGCCTTTGCTCAGCGCTTCCCAGCGGAGAGGTGACGGTGGTTTTCCTTGCTGCATCCCTTTTGCCGGGTTGCTGCGCTGTGGGAACCACCGCTTGAGGCTTCGTTTGGCTGCTGGTTGACTAAAATCCCTTATTTTGGCTGCTGATCCCTTATTTTCGAGGCTGCTGGTCCCTTATTTTCAAATCTGTAAGTTGACAGCTATGCATCCACATCGGGTGCCACCTTTGCTTGCATTGCTTGCAAATCCCGCCTACCTGGCCCCTCCATATCCTCAAAGCTCATTCCAGCCCATACAACCCTTAGCGGCTCCTTCCAGCCCCCCACAGCTCCTCTGTGCCCTGCTTTTTTCAAACCTCTGCTGTTGTTTAAAACCACCATTTTAAAACCTGCCTTCTACTTTGCTCCCCTCCCTGCCCCAACAACAGGCAAATCCAGGAGTGCGACATGAGCTTCTTTGTTTTCCTCTTCCCTCCCCAATTGCTTTTTTTGTGTGCTGTGTCTTTTGGATTGCAAGCCTGAGGGGCAAAGGACCGTCCTATTACAGTGGTACCTCGGGTTACATACACTTCAGGTTACAGACTCCGCTAACCCAGAAATAGTACCTCGGGTTAAGAACTTTGCTTCAGGATGAGAACAGAAATCGTGCTCCAGCAGCAGCGGGAGGCCCCATTAGCTAAAGTGGTGCTTCAGGTTAAGAACAGTTTCAGGTTAAGAACGGACCTCCGGAACGAATTAAGTACGTAACCGAGGTACCACTGTACTAACTTTTATCAGCCTCTTTGGGAGCCCTAAAATGAATAAAATCTTGGAACAAACCAACAAAAATGGGAAATACGTGAACAGCAGGAGACACAATATACACACACCAGCACTTCAAAGGGAGCCCCGGGCACAAAATGGTGCTTGGTTTTGGAGAGGTCGACTGAATATGGAGATTCCAAAATTTCACCGAGGCCAGCTCCTGCTCCTCCAGCTCACCACCTA